AGGATGCTGCATCCCTGTCAACTGAGGTGCATAGCATGAGATGCTGTTATGCTCTAGCTGAGAACACGACTGCATCAAAGAGAAAGATGTTTCTGGCCTGTACTATAGTCTGTCTCTTTGTACATGGCATTTCTAAAACCAGCAATAGATTATAAGCTCACACTGGTATTGCTGGGCATAAGAGTGTCTGAAGTTCCCATTGGTCTTAGGGGATACAAAGGACATTTCGTATCTGTTGGTAAAATATAGCTATTCTTTCCATGAGCTCTTTAAATGCTGTTGAGTGGAAAGATGAACTCCACCATTACTTGAGAATAATATTTTGAAGGTTACCTACATACCTCCAAACCAACAACAATTGAGTATGTGTTTATTGGGTGGAAGAAATTTATTGGATCAACCTGCTATTTGAGCAGTGAAGAATAATTTTATTGCTTGGAAGATTGTAAACTGGCATTTTTCTTGCCCTCCATTCTGTCAAAGGAATTGGGAGCAAAGCACGAAGAGCTTTCAAAAATTTTATGTTGAGTCTCTTGTATCTTCATGAGGTCTTAAGTATTTATCACACACAATTTTTTGATATTCCTCTTCCATGGTTACTTACATCTAATTTTTGCAGCCAGAGTTTTGCTGGCAGAACTGTGAAACTGGCACAGTAGTTAATGTGTCATTTGTGACTCTCAAAGTACTGTTTATTTCACTGGATTTCAGTTCTGTATGAAAGCTGCTATACGAAACAAGAGAACAAATTACTTTACAGGAGACAGACAGACATACAAGAAAAAGTATTTATGCTGAAATTCTGGGGTATATAGATTGATGTTCCCACTTCTAATGGCTACCTTCTGCTTGATATGTACCCAGAATTTCAAGCTTTTTTTTTCTGGAAACCACTCACAGTGGACTTAGTGCCTCTAGGCGCTACATTAACAAGTCATACTGTAGGAATTTACTATGAACTGCATATTCTCCTTTTCTTGGTTGTTCATATGGAGAAATGTGAAAACATTGGGGAGTGGGGTGTGTGGTGGTTTGTTTTTTTCCCCCAGTAAAAATAGATTTCATTCTCCAGTAACTGAAATAGAACTTTAACATACTTGAATTTGTCGTCAATAGACCTTCATTCTCCAGTAACTGAAATAGAACTTTAACATACTTGAATTTGTTGTCAACAGACCTCGACTATAAGCATGATTCATGTATACATCTGAATTTGGGGAATGGGTGAAAAGGACATTCTTTTTGTATGACTTTGAAAAGTCTCTGCAGGAGTGCAGATCCTTCATGTGACCTTGAGGGAATTCATCAAAATATGTTCTAATTTGGCTGGACTAGTTGCCAGGGTAGACGTGTAGTTTTCAATCTTTGAACATTTTGTTGATCGAAGTAAGAACAGAGTGTCAATTTATAACTTTTGACAGCTTCAGAAATGGCCCTTTCTGTCAGACAGTGTCATGTATAGACGAGAGAGCAACAAGCACAGCTGCGATCCTTAATTTCTTTTGATAAAACACTTTTACACAGGTGGTCAGTGCTAGAAACTGATCACGTTAACTGTGACCAGATTTAGACACTTGCATCTCAAGGTCTTTTATGAGCATTGGCTCCTAAGTTGATGATATTAATTTTTGTTTTCATACTTAACAGGAAAATTCTTTATGAAGTTCATTAGAAGTCTGATGTTTTGTGCCTACTGCGCTGTATTCACATCCTAAAGTGAAATTGTGTCCTTCTGCCAGTCAAAGGGAGTTTCTCCACTTCTGTTTTATGACAGAATTTCCTAATGTTCTGTAATATACATACCCAAAAAACCCCAACCAACCAACCAACCAAAAAGATTACAAAAGATTATATTTTAAAATTGTTTTAGTTAACTCATAGGGTAGATTTTGTGATGATGATAATAACACACATTTTCTCTTTGTGAGGTTTTTGGGTTTATTACCATACTAGCCTTGCATTACGAAGAACCTGCTCAATCTCTAATTAGTATTTTTCCTCCAAAATATATTTTCTGGAAAATTGCTTTAAAGGTATTTATCCTAATTGCTTTTTAATTTTTTTTCAGGGAGTGCTGGAACACCTGTTATCTTCAATGAAAATGGAGATGCTCCTGGACGCTATGATATTTTTCAGTATCAAATCACCAACAAGAGTACAGAATACAAAGTAATTGGTCAGTGGACTAACCAACTTCATTTAAATGTAAGTACTGGTTTGATTATGATGCTAACATTAGAGAATACTCGTTTGAATATTAAATTATTTCAAAACACTTCAAAAATGTTGATGATTTCTTCTCTGTCAGCTGGCAAAAGAAAGCTCTTCTATTCTCTTCTTGAGAAGTTAGTAAAAGATATAGCACAATAATCTGACCCAAATTCTTTATATTTTAAAGTAGGTTGGTTTGTATATTTACCTGCTCCTTTAAATGATATTTTAGAATCATTATGTATCTGATGTTCCTCAGACTGATTATGAAGTTAGGCAGGGAAATAGTAACCCATCCTTCAAAAGAATGTGTCAGACAAAATGATGGGTACATATATATTGCCCAGGTATTTCAAATAACATAAGGGGATGGAAACATATTTAGTAAAAGAGAAGTTTGGCTGATGTAGTTGAAACACTGGGATGATGAACTACTGCAATAAAAATATTTCTTGAAAATAAAGGGAGAATTTGGATTTTTTTCTATATCGTTAACTATGATTAGTATAGTCCCTTATTACTTAATAGCAGAAGAAACAAAAGACACAACAACTTGCCCATCCTTAGGAGGTGTTTCTAATTGCTGCCTTAATATGTTCTGCAAGTTTTGTGGTAGTTAAGACCCAACTGTGCATAGAACTATGTTTTTGAAAATTGCCATCCCAATAAGATTGAGAGATAGAATATGCAATATTTGTATGACAGCTAAGCATCAAGCCACAGCTGTAACTTGAGTAGTTGTTGGGTCCAAGGCACTTCTGTCTGCAAAAGATGGCTCCATGTGAGGAGAGTTACAGTCATGAGAAAAGCAAAATGAAGTTAAACTGTTTCCTTGTTAGCTATGCAATATTTACAGGGTTTACTTGAGATATGTTAGGCATTTGGGTAGCTCTGCAAATGTGAAATATCAAGTGGTTTTTTTGCTAATAGCTGATGAGAAGGGTAACTGTGATTTGATGACCAGGTTCACCAAAGGGATTTTATTCAGTGACTTTAATCAAACTACAAAAAGCAGGTTTCAAACTTCTCTGGTTTTCCATGTGAGAGGTTCCTGAAGAAGAGTAACAAGGACAGTGTAGTAAATATTTACAAATAATTCTCCTGTTGAGACTACTTCGCAATAATTATCTGAGGGCAACCCACAGTAACACATATGATAGCTCCCCATTTTCAGCCACAGCTGTTAAACCACTTTACCATATCTACTGTTTAATTTATATAACTACTTGGCAAGGAGTAATTTATTTAATTCTCTACCCAACTAGAAAAAAAACCAAAAACAACAACCCACTAGAAAAAAGCCCACCAACAGAAACTGTGTGTAGCAGATTGTGTGGCAGTGTTACCTCCCTCCACAAACCTGATATCTGCCTGTAAAGGCACGAAAGGGGGAAAAAAAAAAAAAAGTGGTTAAACAAGTTTAAAGATTAATACTAAATTGTAATTTCTGGAACACACTAGAGTTAGACCCTTATCATAACTATTCTGGCATACATTCCAGATCTTCATAATTGCTACAGTTTTCTGAAAAGTTAGTATTTGTTAAGTGAGCTGAAAAACTGATACACACATTTTGCACAAATGTTAGTACTAACATAGCAGTTACATAGTAGAAGCTAAAAACTACCTTAGAATTTGCTTCAATTCAATATGCCTTTTTCTAACACCACACCCCCCTCCCCCCCGCAGCTGCTAAATTTTTCATCATCAAGCCTGTAGCTTTTCAGTCCCATTATTTCTCCCTGATGTATGTGTACTCCAGGGAGTTCTCTGAAATATGGTTAAGTTGGCTGCTACTCAGACTACTGAAACCACACCATGCTAACCACATTGACCACAAAGCTAACAGGAAAGGATTTATGTAAGGACACCCCTTGTTAACTCGTATTAAGAATGGATGTGTTAGGATGTTCTTTGTCTCTTTTTTCACCACTTTTTTTCACCTCCTTATACTGGACACAACTGGTTGTCCAAATTCGCGGGCAAGCTCTGTCGTGGAGATGCAAACGGGCCAGCACACAGCTCCACAGTTGGTGTTTCTGCTCCCAGCCTCGTGCCATGGCCCTGTTCCCATTCTCCCACCCCTGCTCTGCTGCACAGCCCCTGCTCACAGCCCAGGGTGCGAGCAGGCACGCGGGGCTCCATCCCCCCGTGCACGGTGCCCCTGAATTGATTCGACAAGGAGGTGTACTCTTGTTTCTTGACTTTCTCAACTTTAGATAAAGCCTGGAGTATTTCTAAAGGGAAGATTGGGTTGTATTTCTTAAAGTTTGTCAGGGCTTGAGATGCTGGTCTCCATTGGTGTCTGCAGGTATTGGTATAGCAACAATGAAGAAGGAAGTCTTAATAGGGGTTCTACAGTTCGTTTCCATCTGTTTACAGATTCATTAAACTTACTTAGCATGGTTCAATGGTTGTTATGCCACATGATGATCTGCTGTGGCAAAGCTGTTGCCTCCTCTCACTAGACAAAATGTACTAAACCCAAGTAATCTTTGTGAATGATTGTAAATTCTCCAAGGCATCATATTGCAAATTAGGTAGTGCCTTTGATTGCCAATGGGAGGAACGCGATGGATGTTTTCATTGGTTTCAGTGAAACATCTATATTTATTGAAGGTCAAGCACTCTTAAGACGACAGAGCACTTTTTTGCTGTTCTATAAAGGAGATACTTTTTAAATATAATACTTTTCCCACTGTATCCTTCTTTCTCCTGCAGTTTCCTCCTAATGAAGGCACACGTAATTATGATTTTTAATGGATTTCTGCCAGCTAGATATCCTTTATAGATACTTCTACTCCTGTTTTTACAGATATTTCTACTTCAAATTGTGTGGTAACATGTTGTAGCTATGACTGTGTTTAAGATTGTATTCATCTATACAGCTGGTACTGTGCTTCAGAAGATGTATAGCTTTTATTAATTTATTTATTTTCTATGCCTGAAAAAAAAAAATTCATGAAAGTACTGGGTTTGCAGTACAGTTCAACTTTTGGAACAATTACTGTAACTAAGACTAGAACACATCTTGCATCTAAATAATTGAACCAGAGGGTTTCCTTTCTTCTTTCTGATATTTTTTTTTCCTCCCTTTTTGTTTTCTTTTTCCTTAGGATGCTCTTTGATATTTTTTCCTTTGGGTTTTGCTGTGAGTCTCTGTTGTGTGGGCTATGGCTCCTCACCTGGTGGCCTGCCCTGGTCCTGTCTCTGACCCTGATCCTCAGGACTGAGTATTCCTTTGCTGGTGTCTCTGATTCCTCAAAGTTTTCACTGATTCTGCGGGGTCCTTGTGGTCAAGCTTCAGAGTTGTTTCTTTCCTGGTGCAGTGCTAGCTTTTCCTTTAGGCAGAAAGTGCTGATGCTGGCTGGATAAAGAGTCTGTATCATGCTCACTGAGGGGCTCTTTGTCAGCAGGCTTCACCAGCTCCAGAGACCCTTCTAGCTGTGATGCTGGTTTCTCCCTGTAGTCCTCAGTAACGTCAATGCTCTCCTTTAGGCAACTTCTTATTTCCTCTGAAGCAGCTATAGCTTCCAGATATAGGAACTTCATGATTACTGATCAGTACTACTCTTGCAATTCTTGCAAAACAAACACACGCGTGACAATGCTGAGAGATACAGTATAGAAGCTAAAAAAGAAACATAATCTTCAAAGTTTAAACTTTCGTGTGATTCTTGAGTTTGAATAAGGTACCTCAGTCTTTCACAGATGCAAGGCAACTCTGAAAGCAGACATTTAGAAACATTGAACTATAATCTCAAAGAACCTGATTGCCTTTTATACAATTATCACTTTACCTGACTCTGACAATGTAAATTTACACCCCTTTTAAGTCCTTTTATGCTCTAAGGTTGCCTGACTTTAAATGATCTTAATGTACTGGAAATAACCAGACCCTAAAAAATTTTAGTATCACTTTGAAGGAAAATATAATTGCCTTAGAACTTCTGATCATTTATTATATATTTACTGTCAGGGTTTTCTGTGGTTTGCTTTCCTCATTTTCTTTTCTTTATCAAAAGAAAAAGAGAACTTTTTTTTCAGGAAACTCTGATAGTTAAAATCCTTTCTTCTGAAAGATATTCTGGTTTTCATAATGAATAAAAGTCCAGGAAGAGGCAGTTGTTTCTGCAGAAGTTATGTTTTATTCATATTGCAACAGTATTTTGCATACCAGGTCACACGTAAAAGTTCCCTATAAATGTGTGGGTTTAGCAAATTTGATCTCTCAACCATGTAATCTCTGTAGGAGGAAAGTTGTTAAAAACAAGCTTGCTTTTTCTGGCACTTATGATTTCAAATCAACTTCCTTTTATGATTAATAATGAATTCCCTCATAGAAACTCTGTTCTGTATTACATGTGTTGTAATAAGGGCTAGATTGAGATGTTGACTGATGGCTTTTGTTGGTGGCAGCAAGTGGAAATAGTTCCAGTCCTAAAGATTTAATAACAAGTTTCTCAGTTTCCTTTCCTTAGGAACCCATTCAGTTTGTTCTGGTTCATTTCTGAGGGACTTTTTTCCCCTCTTTAAAAATGTTCTATTGTGGAACCTAAATAACAGCTGGAAAAAGAAAAGTGGAAATGTTTAAGAATTTTAAAATTTAATATGTTGACTTTTTTAAAAAAAATCTGTTTTAATATACTTTAAAGCATCTTCAGATTTCATTTCAAGCTTATACATTGTTTTGGTCTACCCAAATTGTGTCTAAAGGTCCTAATCTGAAAAAAATATGTAGATCTAAATCCATACTCTTCCAAGTTAGCAATTTTGCTTGATGGGACAATTGTGGGTAGACACAATTATTGGTGTTTTCACAATCAGATATTTGAATGATGCAGTTAAAAAGCTTGAGTGGATATCCATTTATGTGATATTCCTTAAGAAAAAACCAAAGCATATCAAACACTGTATATTTCAAGTGGATTTTTTAAGACAGAATTCACTTTTGTGTGGTTTTTTTTGGTTTTGTTTCTTTGTTTGGTTTTGGG